TACAGGTGAGAAAGTTTCATGATAATCGATGTCATATGTCTGCATATGTCACTTTGCCACAAGTCTTGCTTGTATCGATCGATGGATCCATTTGTCTTGTATTTAATGGAGAAAATCCACTTGCACCCCACTGTCTTCTTTCCTTCAGGTAGAGCGGCCAACATCCATGTTTTATTTTTCTTCAAAGCCTCAAGTTCCTCATTTATAGCTTGGGCCCAATTTGGATCTGATAAAGCTTCTTCAATACCATTGGGGATATGACACGAGAATAGCATGTGAGCAAAAGCTTTGGGAGGTTCAGATAATCTTTGAGTGGACACATAGTTGGCAATCGAATACTTGGATCTTCTTTTGTCCACATCCGGAGAGTATCAATTTAATGGCTTGCCACAATTTTGTCTGAAAGGTAACACGTAACTCACAGATGTATCCAAAGCAATAGTATGTGAAGGTGTAGTAGGAGAGCTTACCTCAGGAATATTCTCAGGAGTAAGGTCTTCGGGTACTGAGGATTAGTGGGATTCATCTTCAAATGCCAATGAAATATGTTTAACTCTTGGAGTTCTTGGAGACATATCAACTCCTAAAGAAGTTTCAACATTGTGTTCTATCACTTCGTTTCCATCATTCGGTTGGGTTGGGTTTGAGTTACCTACAAATCTCGTCCTGTTATCTTCAAATTTCGACCCTTTTGACTCTTCAACACTCCACCAATTCTGCTCTTCATCTCGAACTCCCCTTGAGGAGGAGAATTGGATGTTAATGATGGAAAAAAAGTTTTGGACTCTAGAAAAGTAACATCCATAGTGATGTAGGCACGTTTGGTGATAGGGTTGTAGCACCAGTAGCCCTTCTTATGTAAGGCATAACCCAAAATAGATAGCAGACTGCACACAGATCCAACTTTAGTACGTTGATTCTTATGAAGGTGAACGAAGGCAACACAACTAAAGATTTGGGGAGGAACCATCAAAATGGTAGGCAAGGGAACATGGTCAGAAAGAACCTATAAGGGAGTCTTAAAATTTAAGACTTTTGTAAGCATACGATTTAGTAAGTACATGGCAGTGGCAACTGCATCGTCCCAGCGGCGACTAGGCAAATGTGCCCCGATCAACAAGGCTCGTGCAGTTTCTAAGATATGTCGATTTTTCTCTTTCGATAATGCTATTTTTTTGTGGATTCTAAAAACATGAGATTTCATGGAGAAGACCATGATTCTGGAAGTATGTTTGAAAGCGCTGGTTTATGTATTCTCTTCCATTGTCAGAACGGAGGATTTGAATCTTGGCTAAAAATTATATCTAAATTCTTGACCATGATATGGAATGATTGAAAAACACTAAAAACTTCATCTTTGTGTTTCAGGAAATAAAGCCATGCCATTTGAGTGCAATCATTGACAAATATCACAACCCGACGATAACCAAACAAAGTAGTAACAGGGGAAGGTCCCCCCACACATCAGAATGTATTAAAGCAAGGGGAATTGCACTTTTGGCTAAAATGCAAGTATCACAAGTAAAGTTTGAGTGCTTTAAATTGAAAAAAAGGTCTGGAAATAAGTGCCTTAAATAACTAAATGATGGATGTCTCAAGCGTTGATGTAATAGCCAAATATGCCTCTCCTTGCTACTGACCGTGTGATGTTTGTGATTGCCTCTCCTTGCTACTGAAGTCATTCATGTGGTGTAACCCCCCTCTTAGTACCACGCCTAATGATCTCTTTGGTGAGAATATCTTGAAGAAGACAAAAGGTAGGATATATTAGTACCACACAATTGAGATCTGCAGTAACTTGGCTCACAGACATTAGTAAAGTATGAAATAACAAGAGAGAAGGGGATAAGGTCACAGTTCCAACCCCTGTAACCGGATATGTGACTCCATTATCATTAGCAATACAACTTCGTCTTGGTGGAGTAATATGAGAGAAATCATTGGAATCAAATAACATGTAATCAATAGCCCCAGAGTCGATAATCCAGACACCATCATCACAGTGATTAAGGCTAAGGAACGCCTGACCAAAGTTACCTTAATCATTGAGAGCAATAGAATCATTTCGGTATTCTTCTTGGGAGATAAGAGATAACTAGGGTTCAGCAGTAATCATGGCAGCTCTACTCGTGCCTTCATCAATGGTTGTAGTCTCACATTTTTCCGTGCTTGAAGTTCATTCCACCAGTCTAGGCACCCATGTAACTTAAAGCAAGTTTCACGGGTATGTTTGGTGTTGCCACAGTGAGTGCATTTTCCACTATCAGATTGACCCATTTTAGACTTGGAGGTTGGGCATTGCTCAGAGACAATGACCCCCATTTTTTACTTTGTTTGATTGGTTTATCTTGATTCCTTTAGAAGCCATAGTAGCGCCAGGAATGGAATCCACACCTAAGGTCATCACGGCCTACCGAACATCTTCACATCGAACATGAGCATAGGCCTGCTCAACTGTAAGGAATGGTTTCAGAAGTAGCACATCACTCCGAATCTTGTCCAGTCGATCATTCAATCCATCAGGAAAGATATGAACTCTATCTTCCTGTAGACTTTATTTATATTTTTGGATATCATCAGGGCAAGCCATAGGATTGGGACGACGAAAATTGATTCTCGCCATAATCCTTGAAGGTCGTTGTAGTATTTTTCAATTGATCCATTGGCTTGTCTCATGCAAGTCACATGACGTCGGAGATGATAAACTTGAGAAGATCAGTCCTATCAAAATAAGTTGTAGTAGCAAAATCTCATACCTGTTTTGCAATTGGGAAGCAAATGACGTTTGCAATCAAAGACGAATCCATCGAGTTGATCAGCCATCCTTTGACAATGACGTTCTCGATTCACCATCTCCAAAAATATGGATCAGTTTGTGGTGTTGCACCATCTCAGATGAATCCTCCATGTATTCCACGAGGTTTGGGATGTTTCTTGGTCAAGGGGTGGGTATAGCAGAGTTTTTTGAACCATGCTCTGATACCATGTTAACAAGAAGTTTTTTAATTTTATTATATATTCCTCTTTAGAACTGAGTGCAATGATACATAGATACAGGGAGAAAGTTTCAGCATCTATTCAAAGCTATACATAGTCTAAGGCTAGAATTATGGTTGATCCGTACTAAGGGATTTTACAAATAAACTGGTTCTTNCATCTATTCAAAGCTATACATTGTCTAAGGCTAGAATTATGGTTGATCCGTACTAAGGGATTTTACAAATAAACTGGTTCTTATAATTGCTCCATTCTAATAGCAACCGTTCCCTGTAATTTCCCCATTCTAACAGCTCACGCAAACAATTATCATACTATTTAACACTTGTTTGCAAATCATTTTGAAAATTATAACAAGTAAATCTAAAAAAAATGATATTAAGTGCAGTCGGATTTTATAGTGATCATAAGTGTTTATCAACTTAAGTGAAATGTCTTTAGTTCGAACTAAGAATTAATCTCATCCAAATATTAATAAAATTGTTTGTCGTTTGTCTACGCACAAGACTTCTTATAAAAATAAGAGAATTGTGCAATAAATCTGACATTTTACTCAAAACATAGATATTATTCGTGAATTTGTAAAGTAATTCAAAAAATATTTAAAATGAGTCTATAAATATGAAAACAACTGCTTTATTTGAATTTTTAAAAATCTATAGAAAAAGTTGGAAAACTCGTCTTAGATTTCTATGAAAAAAAATATGGAAAAGATTTTTCTTTGCAAAAAAATAAATTAATATTTTTTTTATTACAATAAAAGATGGGTTAATTATACTAGAGGTCCCCAAATTATAGAGTTTATCTGATTTTAGTTCTTAACATTTCAATTGTAGCATTTTGGTCCATAAAATATTAGTCCATCAAACAGACAATATCCAAATTACTAACTGTTTTTTTATTATAAATTTATTACGTGATACCTAAATATGAACACAAAAAAAAATTGGGTAACTCTTAACTAAAATTTGGGTAACTCTTGACTAAAATTTAGATAACTCATGATCAAAACTATATAATTTGGGTAGCTCTTTGATTAAAATTTGGGTAAAAATTTTATTAAGATTTATCTAAATTATTTTTTTACCCATATTTAAGTATTACGTGACAAGTTTGTAATAAAAAAACGTTAACAATCTAGACATTGTTTATTTGAAAGACCACATAAAAATGTAATTAATACTTTAAGAATTAAAATGAAACAATTGAAATATCTACAATATGAAATACGCAAGCTTCAATAAGTTCATTCGATAATTCCAAATAGATTCATTCAACGGCTACTAACATCTCTTTAAAAATTATTCACATTAAATTTTTCTTTTTCTAGTCCATTAATTTTTATTTACTAAATCTTCAAGCATGGATTACTTAGGTTGAGGACAACATGAGGCAAGCTCATTGGCAAATACTCACTCCGTTCCTAAATATCTGTCGTTTTATTCAATTTTTTTTGTTTCACAATATCTGTCGTTTTATGAAACCAAAACATAATTAATACTTTTTCTTTCAAATTTAACCTTAACATTTCAATGCATTAGATTAGGTGGATATTAAGTGTCTTTCATATTCCTTTCCTTCCCAATACGTATTGAATAAGGGTATTTTAATTTTGTATAATTATTTTTATTTATATTAGAGCTACTTAATAACTTCTTTAATTCCTATCTAAAAACCTCAAACGACATTCGGGAAGAATTAACCCTAAAAGAAATTAATCGAAGGGTTAAGTTGGAATGCTCATAGTACTTATAACCTTTTACTGCACTTTCCACTTTCACACAAAACCTAAGCTATACGCACAGAGTGACGAACACAGCAACCAAATAGCTAGCCGCAGAAGGCAAACGAGCGAATTTTCTGAATCAATCCAGAGGTAACCATTTCGTTATCTCATTTTATCCTCTAGGGTTCTATTTCCGTAGTCTTCACATCTCTAAATCGTTGAGTACTTTCTGATTTAGGGCTTTGGAACTTTTTTCGTGGTAGATTTCTACGCAATCATGGCTGAAGAAGAAAATCAAAACGAAGTGAAGGATGAGGCTTCTGATGTGAGTTTAATTCAGTTATTTTTTCTTTCTTTCATTTTGGTATTTTTTTTTCACCATTTTAGATGTTGTGGGCCTGATAAATGGTTTTGTAATTGTGGTAATATATAGAATGTTAGCTGTCCGTAGAACTACTCGTATTATTTGTTTTCATTTAGAATATGGGCTTGGCTGGGATGAGCTTTGCAATGTTTTCAGTGGGAATGGTCTAATACATATGTCCTCTTTACGTTCTGCACCAGTAGGCTATGTGTATAATGCATATTGTATTATTGAGGTTTCCTTAAGACGGTTACATACAATTTCTTGACTGGGCATGACTGAAAACATTATGATAGTGTGGTAGAGATTTGCATAAATTCACTGATATGGAAAATATTTGCATCTTACTTTGTGGATTTTGAATGATATGTAACTCATACTGCGGCAGCTGAAAGGAAAACAGAATTAAGCATTACGAAATTGAAAAAAAACAGTACATATGAACATCATGAGATATGAATTTTAATGTATTGAAACATCTGGTTTGCATAGCACAAAAAGTGATTAGCTTAATGTTCTTGTAGGATCGTAGGTAGTCATTCAACAAGTAACTATGTGAACTATGTGGAAAGGAAACAAAATGAACAACTTGAGACGATTATTGATTTTGAACGCTTAATTGCGTGTTTGATGTTCAGATTGCTGTGGCAAAAAGAGGTTGGAGAATTTTGTCAATTGGATGGTCGACTATTGTATAACAAGTTGTTTTTTTGAATGCACAAGCTGTTTCTAGTAGTAAGCCCAGCAGTGTTTTTTGTTGTGTGCCTATTTGAATAGTTAAAACGCCATGTACTGGTGCACTTTGGTACTACCTACAAACCTTATATCCTCCTTAATTATGTCATAGTGAAATTCTTTAAGACAATTGCCTCAAACCAAACCACACTGTCCAAATCTTGTCAAACTATCCACATCATAATTTACTCATGACTGTAAGTTCCTTAACTCACTGCTTACTTGCATCCCTCCATTTCCCTTTTTTCTTGCATTTCCCTTAATAGGACTGGTTTTGGTTGTTTAACATAAGGTTTGCACTACTTGTCCACCCCTGTTCTTCTTTTTTAGTACATATTTCTTATTATTAATAAAATTTGTTACTTATCAATAAAAATGTATGCCTTTAATGCAGATTTTCATCATAGTTCTTATAAGTTATTGCTTTGCAGATTGCACCATTTGACCCTACAAAAAAGAAGAAAAAGAAGAAGGTCGTAATTCAAGATCTTTCAGATGTTTCTGTGGATAATTTGGCTGATAAAACTGAAAGTTTATCAGGTTAGAAGAACTGAGCCTAGATTTTGACTAAGTTGTTTCATCTTCCTTGTTTGTATACCTAGTTGCTTGTTGAGGAATTTATAATTGTGCTGATACGGCTTCACTTCACCATGCAGTTTCTGATGGTCTTGAGACTAGCTTTTCTGGTCTGAAAAAGAAGAAGAAGAAACCAGTTAGTTTTCAAGTCCACTATATACAGGAAGATATCACAACTTTTTTTTTGTTCACAGCAGTTACATGGAACCTTTATTAACTGTTTCAGGCGCATACTGATCTCCTGAATGATGAGAAAGAAAATGAAGGGAATGATTTTGATGGTAAGGAGTATTGTTATACGAACATACTACTAAACAAGTCGATAATTAGAGTCTTGTGCAGTCATAGATATAGACATTGTTTGAATGTAATATAAGAATTAATCTTCTGTCAACTCTCTAGATCACATCGGAGAGGATGAGGAAGGAGACGGAATTGTCTTGCAACAGCAGTTTCCATGGGAAGGGAGTGACCGGGATTACAAATACGAGGAGGTATATGTTTGTTTATTTAATTTTGTGCTATAATCATTCTTCAACCTTCTTCCAATAGCCTATAACTCAAGTATACTGCTAGAGTCTTTAAAAGCCTCGAGGTCGTTCTGGTATGTTGTGGAATACTGTTTTGCAAATATATGAATGGGTTGTGCCCCATTCAATGAAATTATTCTTTTTAAAGAAACATTTGTTGATAGTAGATGTCATCATTGCTCACTCAAGGCAACATAGTTTATGGGTCTTAAGCCTCAGTTCATAGGTCTCTCCAAGGTGGAAACTCAAGAGTGCTAAAGCCACTTCCCTTGTGGTTACTCCATGACGAAAATGCTGCATTTGAGCTTTAAATGGCCTGTACTGGGGATTGGGCATAGGAAGTTTGAAACAAGATTAAAGCTTGGGTATAGGTGAGGTAACTAAGCATTGGGTTCGTCCCCTGGGGCCTGCCTGTGCCAATTTACCAGTTTAGAATGTGATTAGCATTTTCGGTTGGTAATGATTTGGACGAGTTTCAGTAGAGGCTGAGTTTGAGCTTTGTTGAGCTTGACTAGATTTTTTATTCAGGACAATTGCTTGCTTTGGTTTCCTTGATTTAACTTTAATCACATGATTTTCTTTCACCTTTGTATAAAAATAAAAAAGAAGACAAAAGTCAAACTATGAAGGTAAAACCTTGGTTAGTTATGCAATTAGTTCTATTGGGCAATGCACACACGTATGTGGACTATTTTGAGCTCTAGGATGCTTTATATACATATATATATATATATATTTGACCATTTGTTAATGAATCTCAAGACTCTAAAATCATTTACCTAGAAGTTTCATTTTGCTAGAATCTGGAAAATTTTCATAACACTAAAGACATACTAAAAATAATAACATATAACTGAAAACTTTGAAAAACTTTACACGCAAGCTTTGTATAATGGTTTGATAGTGGCTAGATTGCACTTTACCTTTTTATGGATCTAGAGGTAAAAACAGTGAGATAAACAATTTAAGAACCCAAGGTGAAAAAGAGTTACAAATTTGTATGCAATTAATTATGTATGAGATATATATTCTAGAATTTACAAGGAGGGTTAGAATTTATGTTCTAATAGGACATTGAAGGAATATTAAAGTTAACATAATAATTAAACATAAAATTGAGAAAACAAAAGTAAGATCAAAGGCTTTGTTTGGATATAATTGACTTCATAATATTGAGTAGGGGAAAAATAGAAAATTAAAAGTTTTCTGACATTTAAAAGTAACTAGTTGAGGCACATATGTGTTGTACATGAACTATTTTTTAGTATAGTTTTAATAGATATATTCTTTAAAAATGTAGAATTAACATGATTCAAAATATCAAATATAATGGTGAACTTCCTAGAATAAAAAATATAAGGAGTAAAGAGCCTAATGAAAGTACTCTAATAGTCGAACCAATCGAGAATTTAGAACCATTCCTATATAGGTGTAACAAGATATTGCAATGACAACCAATGATCATAATTTGTTACAAACATATATAAATTGATGGTACAATAAGCAACTTCGAAAAAGTTCAATTCTCAAATATAGGTTGTACTTCAACCACTTATAGGATTGTTCAACATTAAGACCTTCGTAATCATTCTCGATACGATCTTATTATAAAAGATGCCATAAACAACATTTTGAAAGAATTTCAAGCATAATCAACCTCAATATGAATATAAAACTAATAAAAACCATATGTACCGGAAAATTCAGAAAATATAACAAACAAATTAATAGATGTACTGCTGCTTTTCAATGTCTTCANCTGTAAAGCTAAAATCTTAATTGGGAATTAAAAAAAACACCTATTTTAAACTTTAGATCAACTAATAAAAGCATAATCAACCTCAATATGAATATAAAACTAATAAAAACCATATGTACCGGAAAATTCAGAAAATATAACAAACAAATTAATAGATGTACTGCTGCTTTTCAATGTCTTCAACTGCCAAACACACCAAACACTAGCTGCGAAGAAGAAAATGTGTTGAATAAAACTCCAAATCAACCTAGCAAACAGGGATACATTCACACCCACAATACACAAACAGTAAATTTGAATTGAGGCAATAAATAAGGTAATTGCATACCTCCCCAAGAAAGCAAAGCGGAAGACCAAATAAAAAGATTTTCTTATTGGAGAGAGATGGGTTGGTTTGTTTTGTTGATAGGTGGGAGAGATGTATACATTGCGCATTTGGAATTACCCAATAATTTATATGGTCTAAACATTTAATTGGTGCATGAGTTTTCATAACATGTGAAACAAGCGAGAATATGGAAGGCTTAATGATTCGACTTCTAACTCCTTAATAATTTATAACTGATACGTGTATTGTAGATTGAATATTTATGTCTTCAATGTTTTTGAACAAGTCACATCATGGAATATGAAATGGTTGCTATACTTATTTCCCAAGATTGGTTCTCTGTAATAAATATTTGTCAGTCACGGTTATCGGATGAAGAAGTGTATTGACAAAAAATTTTCAAACAATATCGNGTTCGACTTCTAACTCCTTAATAATTTATAACTGATACGTGTATTGTAGATTGAATATTTATGTCTTCAATGTCTTTGAACAAGTCACATCATGGAATATGAAATGGTTGCTATACTTATTTCCCAAGATTGGTTCTCTGTAATAAATATTTATCAGTCACGGTTATCGGATGAAGAAGTGTATTGACAAAAAATTTTCAAACAATATCGATATAGATTAGCTAACCAACAGCCATCAATCCACAGAAAAGTCACAATTACAACAAACATGGTATTAATGTTGCTATTAATTTATAACTCTAAAAGGATAGTATTGGTATTACATATTTTAATAAGGTTATTATAGTCAATCAAAAGTTTTTCACTTTTGTTGACATTTTATAGTAGTATAGATATAGATATATAGATCTGTGTGTCCATGAATACCTTCTCTCCCCCATCTCTCTCTCTTTTTCACACACACACACACACAGACAAAGGGAGTTATTTGTGCATTTTGCTCAGAGCATTANTTCACACACACACACACACACAGACAAAGGGAGTTATTTGTGCATTTTGCTCAGAGCACTACTCCATTTCTTGTGATGTTTAAATTATTAAATTGTAAAGGGAAGTTATATGACATTTAAACTTTGGCAAAGCAATGTTGTGATTCATCAGGCTATTGTAACTACATTTTGTTTAAATGGTATCCTATTTTAGCCCCCATATATTCACTTGTTTCTACCAACTGATTTTATTGGCCAATGATTCACAGACAGCGAAATTATATTGTTCATCTTGATGGTGGTCTGCTGCTTAAAATCATAACTTCTGTAGCAAATGATACTTGTGCATGGCGTCTCAATTTATATCCCTTGTTTAGATGATTAATCAAAATGCCTATTGATGTTTTTTCACCCTAAGCAGTGGAAAGAAGTTGTTTCTGATAGGTTAGTTTTTCTTTTTTCTTGTTTTCGCAAACTGTCGAAACCTGCAAGTGTCTTTTTCTCCTATGATTGCCTTCTTCTCCTACGATTTTCTTCTTCAAATAGATGAAGCCATAGTTATATTTCGATCTCTATTGCAAAAACGAAGGGTTGACTCACTTTCGATATTTCTCGCAAACTCACATTGCACGAAATGATTTGTCAGTTGAAATGATAGTTGTGTTATGTGGGATGCATTTATTTGCATATTTGTGGGTATGTATTTTTTTTACTTTAATTTTTTTTTTTTTTTGAAATTTAGCATGTCTTATGACAGAAGATACATTACTTTTAAAAAAAACACAGGCGCTTCAATAAATGTTTTGACAACCTTAATGTTATAACCAAAGTTATCAAATCGTGTATCGGAAGGCGTATCGTAAGATACAAATATTGTATCGTATCGTGTATCGTATCGTGTATCGTAAGATACGATGCAATTTTAAATAAATAATAAAAAAATATATATAGCTTTGAAAAAAAGTCATTCACTCATAAAAAATATAGCATTTCATTAATACTCCACCAACTATTCAAGTTATCAACATAATCCACTACTATTATAATGCAAAGTTCACAACCANGTTTCTTTTCATATGTGACTAGTTGCTAAAGCAGAATGTTTGCTTGTTCATTTTTACGATTATGATGTTGAGTTGTCAAATAAGTAGGTGTATTTTGTTACACATTCTTTTTATTTACATTGATGTTGGATATGGTTTTCTATGACTGAGGAATTATTTTACCAATTTGCAGCTTTTGGGCAGAGTATTCAATATTCTTCGGGAGAATAATCCTGAGCTTGCAGGAGATAGGCGTAGAACTGTTATGAGGCCTCCACAAGTTCTTCGTGAAGGCACAAAGAAAACTGTGTTTGTGAATCTTATGGATCTCTGCAAGACGTATGGCTATTATTTTTTCCACTTATGCTATGTTTTCAGTTAGTGCCATAGTTTTCATATCAATATGTCATATTTTCGTTACTTTTTCCCTTTTGTACAGGATGCATAGACAGCCAGAGCATGTCATGACTTTCTTGCTGGCTGAAATGGGGACAAGTGGCTCGCTTGATGGACAGCAACGGTTAGTTGTCAAAGGAAGATTTGCTCCAAAAAATTTTGAGGGGATCCTGCGGCGTTATGTCAGTAAGTTTCTTGTAATCGTAGTTGCTTCATTTCCTTGGTGACACAAAACTAGGCTTATTTTATATGTGAGCCTGTTTCTTGTGATGTGCCCATCATCTTTTTTCTGTTTGATATGCTGCCAGCGAGCTAAAGCTGATCCCCAAGGATTCAGCGATCTGTGGATATAGTGTTCTGATATCCTCCTATATTTGGTTATTTCTCATATAATATATTGGTAGTTTGTGGTGTTCNAATCCTCCTATATTTGGTTATTTCTCATATAATATATTGGTAGTTTGTGGTGTTCTGCCTTATATGGCACTGACACTTGGACAACCTTATGGATCCTCATATCTATCATACATTCTTTAATCTTCTTGAATTCTCCAATGATAATTGTATGTGTTTCCAGATGAGTATGTTATCTGTAATGGCTGCAAAAGTCCAGATACAATTCTTTCGAAGGAAAATCGTCTCTTCTTTCTCACATGTGAGAAGGTAATGTAATAGGTTTGTTTTTACTTTGTACTTACATTCACTTTGAATCATCAAACTGTGAAATTTGGAGCACTTTGTTGCTTAGTTGTAGAACCATATGTTTTTACTTATCAATTTATTGTGTTTTATTGAAGTAGAGAAACCATTGATTATTTTGCAATGCCTAAAGTAATTTCTGAGGCCTATGATGATATATAGATTTGCCTACATTGTCTGATTATCTTACCCGACAGAGGAATCTCTCTGTGTTCTGAGGTGTCCAAACACTCGATTCAAGAATTTGGAACACTTCGAATAGTGAGGATTTTTCTAGTTCCTTCCCCCTCTCCTTCCTTGGCATTCGATTTTAATTTAAGGAATTATGGTTGCTTCTTATTCCCCCACTTTCCGTTTGGGTAGTAGCTTACTGCTTACTGCTGATTTTTCCTGGGGCCTATGATGATTTAAAGATTTGCCTACGTTTTCTGATTTTTCTGACCTGAGAGAAGACTCTGAACTGTTCTGAGGCCTTGTTAAATATGTTCCTCATGTTTAGTGGGATAAATAATTTTTCCCCCACTGAAATTTATGCTGCTTTTCGTGTGCATGACCTCTTTTGAAGGGTCTTATGTGGCATTAGTGATCCTCAAGGGAAATAATCAGGTGTATTATCCACATTGTTTTACTTGATTGGTTTGTCCCTCTTTCTAATTTTCTTTCCTTATTTTTCTTGTAGTGTGGTTCTGGGCGATCAGTTGCTCCCATCAAGGCTGGTTTTGTAGCTCGCGTTGGCCGTCGGAAGGCTGGAACTTGATCTGTCTTGGGTATCTTTCTTTGGGTGGGAAGTTTTGTCACGTAGTTCATGACCTCAGTTTGGTTTTTGTGCTTGCATAAAATGATTCATACTTATTCGGACTTCCATACTGAATATACTAATAGTCATGTAATAGGCAAATATGGATATGATAGGTGGTGGTTTTTAGCCATGGAGCCATTCGCCACAAAAATGTTGATTATGAGCTTGCTTTCACGGGTGTACGTAAAACGTGTTTGTTATAGCTTTTATTTTGTGTGTTTCATAATCACCGAGTAGGTCTTAAGTGCCACTGTGACTAGGTCTCCAAATTACAGCTGTCGTCGTAAACCTGAAAAGGAAACTGTATATCATTTGATCGGAAAATTGAGACTAATTGTCTTTTTTTTTTTTATTATTATTATTTTATGATGACTTCTTTTCATTAAAAAGGTGTACATAAAATGAGTGAACTTAACTATTAATACAGTGTATGTAACACGGGGTGGATTTAGTTATTACTGTAGTGGGTATAGAAGAGATGAGTTTAGTAGTTTGACAATGAAAAATTAAAGGGGTGGAAATAGAAATTTGTGAGGCATGAATAACCTCAATAGGGTTTTTTTAAGAGAGGAAAAAAATGTGAGAAAATTTGACTTAAAAATTTGAGAAAATGGATAATTTTGTCTTTTGACAATATTTTAGCAGATTTACATGGTAAGAGTTAATTGGAATTGGTACAATGTTCAAATTGTAAGGAGTAATCTGTTGAAGAATTGAATAGCATTACTGTTTCAATTAACTCTTTCTAGTTTCAATTCTTCAACAGATTACTCCTTACAATTTGAACATTGTACNACTAGAAAGAGTTAATTGAAACAGTAATGCTATTCAATTCTTCAACAGATTACTCCTTACAATTTGAACATTGTACCAATTCCAATTAACTCTTACCATGTAAATCTGCTAAAATATTGTCAAAAGACAAAATTATCCATTTTCTCAAATTTTTAAGTCAAATTTTCTCACATTTTTTTCCTCTCTTAAAAAAACCCTATTGAGGTTATTCATGCCTCACAAATTTCTATTTCCACCCCTTTAATTTTTCATTGTCAAACTACTAAACTCATCTCTTCTATACCCACTACAGTAATAACTAAATCCACCCCGTGTTACATACACTGTATTAATAGTTAAGTTCACTCATTTTATGTACACCTTTTTAATGAAAAGAAGTCATCATAAAATAATAATAATAAAAAAAAAAAAGACAATTAGTTTGAATACATAAATATATTTACGAAATAAGAAAAAAAAACCAAGCAAAACTAAAACAAGTAAAAAAAATAAGCATAACGAAATAAGAAAAAAAATGAAATAAGGAAAAAATAGAAAGAAATAATTAAACCAAAAAAATAGACCAAGTAAAACTATACGATGCAAAATCGAATATGAAAAAATAAATAAATCAAGCAAAAATTAAAGAAAAAAATAAAACTACAAGATGCAAAATTAAATATAAAAAAAAACATCCAACACAAATACAAAATCAAATATAGATGCAAAACTTTAACGTGATAAAAAAAGAATAAATAATTTGAAAGTATACATATATATACACATATATAAGTTCTAAATAAAAAAGTATTAAACTTGACAGAAATATCAAAATATATCGAAAATAATGAAAATTCATATAACAAACATAAAATTAAACATATAATTAAATTGAGAAGTAATACTAATTTGTATCTCACTAGAAAACTTCTTTTATTGAAAAAGTGTTTTTGTGAGTGCATAAAATGAGATAGAAAATGAAATCCTAATTATAACAAAAATAAAGTGAGTTTACATATTAAAAGGGGTGTATATAGTATGAGGTGAACTAAGTTACTAATGGGGGTGAGTATAAAAAGGATGAGTTTAGTAGTTTAATAACGATAAATTAAATAAGGTGAAAATAGAGATTTGTGGGGTAGGAACAACCCCACTCAACAACTTATAGCGACTAGGCCAGACAATTTTAGACACGATTCGAAAAATCGATACGAACCCAACACGAATTTAGCGGGTTTTAGTGCAGTTTTAACGGGTTTAGGTGGTTAATTGGTTCACTCGACAGACCCATGAAATAAACAAATCGGTTCCGTATTTAACTCATAAATTCGTTATAACCAATTTAATTCGTTAACAGTAATACTATAATTTTTTTTAAAAAAAATTATGTCTCTCTATCTTTGCCTCATTTCACACTTCTCATCTCTTAGACTCATTCAAATTTAGTAGTCATTTAATATTTATTTTTTTGTCTTTATTTTTTTATTCAATTATAATTCATTATTATAGTAAACAGGTCAAACTTTTGTAATGTGTGGTGAATAAATGATTTTTTGTGTGAACTTGAAATACTCTAACTTAATTTTTTATTTAGCGAGTGACACATGAGTTGTATTGAATAATTCGTCTAATAAATGATTCGTGTATGAATGTGATAGTTAATCTCATTTATATAAACAAATAGACTATAGATTGAGAATTTTTTGACATTNTAATAAATGATTCGTGTATGAATGTGATAGTTAATCTCATTTATATAAACAAATAGACTATAGATTGAGAATTTTTTGACATTCGCTCGACACGAATTCCGGGCTAATCGCCACACCCCCTAACCGGCCTAACCCATTCCAAATCAGCGAGCATCACTTCCCAAAAAGACTGACGACCACTCTCTCCCCCGTCGTAGAACACTTTGTNCAGCGAGCATCACTTCCCAAAAAGACTGACGACCACTCTCTCCCCCGTCGTAGAACACTTTGTTCACCTCCGAAAAAATCCATCTTCTCCCTTGGGCGATAACTCTCCATCCTTCCTTGGCCATAAACTTGTACCCCACCCATAGCTTCCCCCGACAAACCCTCCCTCTTCCCTCCAGTAGAAATCAACTCCCACCAACAACGGACCCGACAAAACCATCCCCTTTATAATCCCAACATCACTGCCTTAGCACCCACCATTGCTTTTTCTCCATAAATACTCCATTGACGCCATTGATAGAGAAAGAATGATATAGAGAAACAAATAGACACCATCAACCACATCCAACCCAAAATCCATCTCTATTGAATCTTTCATCAGTCGATTTATTCCTTCTTTTTGCTTCTCAATTTGCCCATTTTTCTTTCGATTTCTATCTACTCAACCACAAAATTTGATTCAGGAATCGATGCATAGCACACACTTCACCGTTGTTATCTTGATCTTAGAGCATCCCCATGACTCAAATATTTTTTTAAATTTAAATTAATGATTAAAAATTTAGATTTGATATAAAAGACTCTAACGTATAAATTCAAATTTAAANTTAAATTTAAATTAATGATTAAAAATTTAGATTTGATATAAAAGACTCTAACGTACAAATTCAAATTTAAAAAAAAAAATTTTAAATTTAAATAAGGATAAATTTAAATTTAAAAGAAAGTAAAGATAATCATTGGGTCTTTAATTTAGTATAAGTTTGAATAAAAAATTAGTGCAAATTTTTTGAGCTTTTTCTTTCCATTTAAATTTAAGTTTAAATTTGAGTTAAGATTAAAAATGCTGGAAGGGCAAAATCTTCTTTCTTACCTTTGGAGGGGGTAAATTGTAATTAACTCTTTTTTTAATTTTAANTAAAAATGGTGGAAGGGCAAAAACTTCTTTCTTACCTTTGGAGGGGGCAAATTGTAATTAACTCTTTTTTTAATTTTGAAAATATTGAGGGTACGATAAAGCAAAATGTCGGTGACTGAGTGCGAGAACGCTGCCTATGAGTTTCTTGCGTAGGACTCAAACGACATCGTTGCACATGTGACCTATATGTTTATCGATCTTTTGTCCCTCCTTCTCATCTTCTCCTCTCCCTCTCTCTCCCCATCACGAAGAAGAACAACCGGCGAAAAGCAGTAGCTTCACCCCCTCTGGTCACCGCCACCAACAATGGCCACAGCGATGGTTATGGATCAAAACCCCTCCACATCCCCACCACCAACCCTCCCACCTACTCTCCCCAACCCCACCCCCTCTTCAAACGACGACGTCTACACCCTCTACAAATCCCTCCAACGCCACCTCGAGTTCCTCGATATCAAAGAAGAGTACACAAAGGACGAACTCAAAAACCTCAAGCGCGAGCAACTCCGATCCCAGGAAGAGGTCAAGCGAATCCAGTCCGTGCCTCTCGTTATCGGCCAGTTCTTGGAAATGATCGATGAGAATTACGGGATTGTTGGATCCACCGCCGGATCGAATTACTATGTCAGGATTTTGAGTACTATTAATCGGGAGCTTTTGAAGCCCTCTGCGTCGGTGGCTTTGCATAGGCACTCGAATGCGCTTGTTGATGTTTTGCCTCCCGAGGCCGATTCTAGTATTTCGCTGTTGAGTCAGTCGGAGAAGCCTGATGTGACTTACACTGTAAGTTTCTTTCAGTTAATTTTGGAGTGGAATGATTTTGATATTTTTTGTTGATGGTTTGTATTGGAAAATTGGGTTTTAGGGTTATCTGCGAATTGTGATTTTGTATGTTGTAGTGTATCTTTTATCAACAGTTTATTTTAGTAATTTACCTATGCATTGGAAGGTTCTGTACTGGTCCTTAGACCCTGTGTATAATGTGCTCTGATTGCTAAATGTACGTGTAAATAATATAACTTAGAATAGGTGGACTTGGTATTATTCTGAGGTGTCAAATGTTGTAGTCTCAGCATCCTTGTTGTTATCACATCCAGCATCATATGCACGATGCCCTAACAATGCACATCAAATTATGCAAAACTTGATGGGTTTTTCGGGGAATGCTTGAGGCTTGCCTTAAGGCTCTTGATGATGTAAAAGTTCAGCAGGGCTTATGACAGCCGTTTGCCTCACAAGTGAGGGTGTGGTGCACGGTGTGCCTTTTAAGTCACCTAATGATATATTTACTTTTTTGCAGCATGAATTTTCTTTATGATACATTTGGTTGCAACTTGCAAGGGATCACATTATTCTTCATTACCTCCTGTATCTCGGTTAACTTTGCCTTTGCCCTGCAACAAAAATAAGGACTGTTTTGCACATTTGTGATTTCATAGAAATTAATCATAAACTCGATTAGCATAAAAAGAAAATATGATGGAAGGAAGTTAGTAGATTTTAAATGTACTCGGTCTAAGTACATCTTTTCTTGTTTGTATGTTTAAAACGATGAATTCATACCTTTAGATGTTGTTGGAGTTCCTTTTTTCTTATATATTTTACTATCTCGCAATCATAATGTCCCATTAAGAAGTTGTTAGCTAAACTCAAATTGACAATGTGGGGCATGAGACTATGGTCGTGAGGACCGACCTTTGACTCATCATGTCATGATCTTAAACCGCTTAGACATGATATTCTTTGGCTTCATGAAATAGGTTGTTTTAGTAACCAAGGGAATTGCTTCATGAGTATATGTTTGAATTGAATGTTGAGGGTTCATATCTTCTAGGTGAGCACGTGGGACTTATTGGCACCAATGAAGGTAATAAATGAGCAATTGTGGCATTGAAGATGGATATGGGATTAAAGCAGTTCAATACTGGTCATGTTAATTTGGCCAATATGGATTGTGAAACTATCATGCTTTAGTTTTTTCCTTTATTTGGGAGGTGTCAGGGACAAAATTAAATAGTATATTTCATTGTAAGCTTGTCTAGTATGGTTTGTATGTTGTTTATTCTTAGTTGGTTTAACCTTTTCTTCCATTCATTCATCTTAGATATTAGGTGATAGATTTGTGACTTTCAACTTTAGCGGTGCGTCATGTTGTGCTAGCAATGTTATAATTTGTGATGGTTGACTGGCAAATACAGGTAAGATGTCAACCTTTGGCCCACCGGTGAGGTGAAGTGAAGTTGATAATTAGAGACACTACAAAACAATAATAGTCTTACATAAAGTGGGTGAAAAGGAATTTTTAGGGTTGGTAAGGTTTTAAATTCATAAAAAAATTAGACTTTGTGAAATGAAACAAAAGGTGAAGAGGGGATATTAGGGTCACTAAGAATCTTATCATGAATAGAATTGGAGAGATTGATATAAGTTGAAGAAAGTGGTGATTTAGATGAAAATATATGAGGAGAGATAGAGATGGGAGTTAAGAAATAATTTTGAATTGGTGGTTTTAAGGAAAAAATCAATTGGAGGCAAAAGGTTAAAGTGAAATGGTTAAAAGAAAGGGATAATAATTCTAAACTCTTCCATATAATTGCAAATGGGAGAAGGAAGAAGAAGTTTATTGATAAACTCGAGTTGGATAGTGAGGTGATTATAGAAGATGAGAAGATGATTGAGAGTAAGGTTGTTGAATATTTTACCTAGTTATATTCATCTCGGGGGGGGGGGGGGGG